TTCCCAATCCCAGAGAGCCCAGCCAGGGAGCAGCTCCTTCCCAATCCATCCCAATCCCAGAGATCCCAACCAGGGAGCAGCTCCTTCCCAGTCCTTCCAAACCCTGAGAGCCCAGCCAGGGAGCAGCTCCTTCCCTGTCCCTTCCAATCCCAGAGAGCCCAGCCTGGGAGCAGCTCCTTCCCAATCCATCCCAATCCCTGACAGCCCAGCCAGGGAGCAGCTCCTTCCCAATCCCAGAGAGTCCAGCCAGGGAGCAGCTCCTTCCCAATCCCAGAGAACCCAGCCAGGGAGCAGCTCCTTCCCAATCCCAGAGAACCCAGCCAGAGAGCAGCTCCTTCCCAATTCCTCCCAATCCCAGAGAGTCCAGCCAGGGAGCAGCTCCTTCCTAATCCCAGAGAGCCCAGCCAGGGAGCAGCTCCTTCCCAGTCCCTCCCAATTCCAGAGATCCCAGCCAGGGAGCAGCTCCTGTCCCATCCCTCCCAATCCTAGAGAACACAACAAGGGAGCAGCTCCTTCCCAATCCCTGAGAGCCCAGCCAGGGAGCAGCTCCTTCCCAATCCCAGAGAGCCCAGCCAGGGAGCAGCTCCTGTCCCATCCCTCCCAATCCCAGAGAGCCCAGCCAGGGAGCAGCTCCTTCCCAGTCCTTCCAATCCCTGAGAGCCCAGCCAGGGAGCAGCTCCTTCCCAGTCCTTCCAATCCCAGAGATCTCAGCCAGGGAGCAGCTCCTTCCCAGTCCTTCCAATCCCAGAGATCCCAGCCAGCGAGCAGCTCCTTCCCCATCCCTCCCATCTTCCCGTCTCTCCCGGGCTCAGCTCCTGCCCTCTCCCAATTCCAGCCCTCCCCGTGCCCCGGGGGGTACCTGGAGCAGCTCGAATGCCGCCAGCAGGTCCCCGGCGGTGGCGTTGCCGCGGTAGATCTGGTAGTACTCGAGCTGGGGGGGGAAGCGGGGGGGCCCGTACTGCTCCTCCGACATCTTCACCACCGGCTTGGCGAACGTGCGGCCCATGAAATCAGCCTTGCCCTGCGGGGAGAGGGGGGTGGGAACGGCCCTTGGCGTGGTGGGATCGGTGGATCCCACACAGGGGGGACTCCGGGATTGACCCCATGGCTCCCCCTCGTTGTGGTTCGAACAGGACCGGTCACAGAATCACAGAATCCCAGAATCTGGGATTGGAAAGGACCTCCAAGATCATGGAGTCCAACCCCGGATCCAACCCCGCCGTGATTCCCAGCCCGTGGCGCTGATGCCACATCCAGCCTGTCCTTAAACACCTCCAGGGAAGGAGAATCCACCCCCTCCCTGGGCAGCCCATTCCAAGGGCTGATCCCTCTCCATGGAAAAAATTCCTTCCTGATATCCAACCTAAACCTCTCCCGGGAAGGTTTATTTTAAGACCCAGCCCTCTTGTCCTGCTGCTGGTTCCTGGGAGAAGGGAATAACTGGGAGGTGGGAATAGTCAGGATGTGGGAGAGGAGGAGGAATAGTTGGGATGTGGGAGAGGAGGAGGAATAGTTGGGATGTGGGTTGGGAAGGGGAATAAACTGGGATGTGGGAAAGGAGGAGGAATAGTTGGGATGTGGGATAGGAGGAGGAATAATTTGGAATGTGGATTGGAAGGGGAATAAATTGGGATATGGGATAGGAGGGGGAATAGTTGGGATGTGAGAGAGGAGGAGGAATATTTGGGATGTGAGAGAGGAGAAGGAATAGCTGAGATGTGGGATAGGAGGAGGAATAATTTGGAATGTGGATTGGAAGGGGAATAAATTGGGATATGGGATAGGAGGGGGAATAGTTGGGATGTGAGAGAGGAGGAGGAATATTTGGGATGTGAGAGAGGAGAAGGAATAGCTGAGATGTGGGATAGGAGGAGGAATAATTTGGAATGTGGGCTGGAAGGGGAATAAATTGGGATGTGGGATAGGAGGAGGAATAGCTGGGATGTGGGTTGGGAAGGGGAATAAACTGGGATGTGGGTTCTGAAGGAGGAATAGCTGGGATGTGGGTTGGAAGGGGAATAAATTGGGATGCAGGAGAGGAGGGGGAATAACTGAGATGTGGGATAGGATGAGGAATAATTTGGAATGTGGGCTGGGAGGGGGAATAAGTTGGGCTGTGGGTTAGGAGAGGGAATAGTTGGGATGTGCGATAGGAGGGGGAATTCCCATCCTTCCCCATATCCCACCTGCCCCTGCCCTGGCACAGCTGGAGGCTGAGCCCTCCTGTCCTGCTGCTGCTTCCTGGGAGCAGATCCCGATCCCACCCGGCTCCTCCCTCCTGCCAGGGAGTTGTGGGGCGGGAAAAGCTCCCTCCTGATCCCTCTTTCCTCCGGGATGAGCCCCTTCCCAGCTCCCTCAGCCTCTCCTCACGGGAACTGTGCTCCAGTCCCTTCCCTGGCCCTGCTCCAGCCCCCTCATATATATAATTGTAAGATATCCAAGTTCCAAACCGGACCTGGATGTCCGGGGTCTTTTTTGGCTGGACAAAGGAGATATAAAAGTTCCTAAAAAAAATTAAAATCTTTTGGGGCCGTGTAGGAATTTTGTACACGGCGGGGGGGGGGTTTCTGTTCTCTCTCGGGGCTTAAGAACAATGGAATTTAAGAGAGGAATTTTTCTTACAGTGGGAACGGCCCTTGGCGCTGTGGATCCCACGCAGGGACACTGGGATTGACCCCACGGCCAGAACTGACCCACGTGTAGAACAGGATCCCTTTGGGATCCCCTTGGAATCAGGACACGGAAG